TTCCTATTTCTTTTATCTTTACTTTCTTGTTTTGCCTTTTCTTTGTCTTCTTTTCCTTTTATTGGCCCTTGGGCCTATGAGCCTTTCTTTTTTTTTTTTTTTTGTTTGCTTATTCTAATTTTTTTTTTACTTATGATTGGGTGTATTGGATATGGTGCCCTATGTATGCTTGTTTTCCAAAAAAACATAGGTATGTCACATGTTTTCTGGTTTTAGTGTACCTGTGACGGTTCACTGTCTCAGTGCTGCCTTGTACTGTATCTCTTCTTATTCTTCTTTGATTGTCTCTGGATATGAAAAGGGGTTTATTTTTTTATCCCAATCTGACTGTACTTTGTCATTTGTTTGCCTATTGAATGCTTACAATTGCCTTTTGATAACAATAAAAATATATTTACCTTAACAAAAACGGGCGTAATACGTAGAGACCTGACCTCTTTTGAGGCCTTGTACCTTAGCAAAACTGACTGTCCCCACGCTATCCCAACTATTTATATTATACTACTTCCACATGCATTTCCCCAACAACCATTCTTCACTAGATCCTCATGGATGAGGACTGGAAAAAAATCATTTTCCTTTACAATTAAATTGAGCCTCTTGGCTCAGACTCAGGAAATGATAAGATACTGCCAGGTGTTATAGATGTCCTGATAGGTTGCACAAAATGTTGCCCCGATATCCTATTGTTGACATTTCGTTGATGATACAGGCACTATGCTACACCTATGGTGGTTCTTCCAGTTACTGGTGACGTTTTGGGAAGCTTAGTGCTCAAAATACTGGCACCGACCTCCCTATGGCACCGGAGTTGGCTTTATTATTGATGTTCCCAGATTCAGCTCAAAAGGCCATAAAAAGGTGTATTACGCTTCCTACTTACTGTGGCCCGGCATAAAATACCCAGACACTGAAACCCCTGTACTGTGCTCAGTATTAGGGAATGGATGAATTAAATCATATCATGCCTGTGGAGTAACTCATGGTGAGTATTCAGGAGAAACATTCTAAATTTAAATCAATGGATTACGTCTGGATTGACTTTTTGACTTCGACACCCTGGGATCATGCCTGTGACCTATGGTATATAACCCTGCTGGTGGCAGTGCTGTGGAGGTGCTGGTGTGCTCAGTCGGACTGGTTTCTCTGCCCCTTTGCACAGGGCTCTGATGAAGAAGTTGCAGCCTTCAAAGCGTGTCAGCCAGTTAGGACCCCAGTGAGGTCCGCCTGTACTCTGGAGTGTACTGTGTCTAGGACTACAGGGCTACAGATGAATAGTTCGATGAGCGAATTTAATTCATATGTTTGTGAGTATTACTTATGATGATTTCCTTTTAAATGTTGTGGGATAATGCACTAGGCTGGTGCCCCCTCTTTTGTTCGTTTCTTGTAGTACCTGTCTCTTTATTCTATCTTGCCATCTCTTTTCTCTTTGCATTGACTTGCTTAGTGGGTTTTAGTTTATGGGATACACTGGACTGCACGTGATCTATCCAAATGAAGCTAATGTTCTCATTCATTCCTAATGCTCAGTTTAGCACTGCATTGTATTGTTACACCCATGTTACTATGTACCTTTGAACTTCTTAAATGAAATTTCTACAAGTCCTTTCCATTTGTGTCTGGTGGAAAATGTTAAATAAAACATTTTTCTAAAAAAAAAAAAAAAAAAAAAAAAAAAAGTTCTGAACTATGTAAAAAAAATTATTTCAGGCTACACTAGATATTTTTCATATTGCTATTGGTTTATTAATTCCATGCTCTATGTTCTACACTATTGTCATTCAAAGTGCGACAGCACTGAAAGCTGAAAACTGGCCTGGGCAGGAAGGGGGTATAAGTGCCCTGTAGGCAAGTGGTTAAGAAGCAGAGATCAGCAACGGCAGCCTATACAATCACAGTACAGGTTTACCTAAAAGAGAAACAATAAAAGCAGCCATAATGCAGGTAAGAGCCATGGTCCAGGAACTCCAAATGTTTGGATGTGTTGCTAGAGTTCTTAAAATAAGCAAACACCTCAGTTCCAGGTAAATTGCACTGGTTTCCACCCAAAACTGACTTCTTAGCCTGAGCTTTTCCTTTTTAAAACATAGCTTATTTTTAGTAAAAAGTCAGCATAGAAAAAAACTTACTGATGGACCCTGATGTCCTGGAGGCCCAACTAAGCCTCTTTCACCTTTACCGCCCTAAAAAAAACAAATATAAAAATGAGCATGCTTTCAAAACTTAGCATATTGAAAAAGAAATATTGTTACCCAAACATTTTCAAAGATAAAATATTCAAAAGAAATGTAACCCATGGCAAATATTTATTTGACTTTATGAAAAGAAAACTCAAGGCTGCTGTTTTCTTACAAGGTCTGTTCTTCATAATATACATGGGACTTTGGTAGAGTAATGCAATATAACTAATTGCTATAGTATATACAGTATATAGAATTAATATATGTTTTATTGCACAGTGTTTTTAATACAGTTCATTATTTAAAGTATTCTTTAACTTAAATCATGTATGTTTTCATTTTGGATAGAGTAAAAGAAATTTAAAAATGCTGACAGTTTGTTTTGGGCATCTGTGTCTCATTAGGGACATATCCATTCATCAGACTCAACAGGAAGTGAGAAAACATCTTTCCAGTGTGGCTAATCATCAGAATGTTGTCACCAGAACAAGTGTTCTCATTAGAAGAGTTCCCTTATATTCCTGTTCTGGTGGCAACACAAAATATTGGATTTACCCTCATTTATTTCCCAGTGATATTGGTGATCAGGAAAATTAGAGAGCGTGAATCTCCCTAATGACAAAGACAGCAATAAAAAACAGCTTTAGTTACTAATAGCCTGAACTTTCATTTCAAGGACCCATAGTGTCAATGTACCTACTGTATGTCCAGAAATGTCTGCTGTCAGTGTAATTTTCCTATGACCACTAAAAAAAAAGCATGTCAGTGAACTGGGATGCCTGTTTTTAGTGCACTATTGTTCCTTTAGTCTGCTTTAAACATGTGCCAGAATACTGTGTTTTGTAAGATTTTTCCAAGCTGGTGAAGCAGTGGGGGCTAAAATATTGGGAGAATCTGATGGTGTCTCAGACATAGTTTGTACCAGAAGTACCTTTGAAAATATTGGCAGGACTGGTGATAGGATACCAAAATGGATACTTTCTCATTTTATTGCATTGATTAGAGATGAGCGAATTATTCAAAATTCGATTCGGCTGATTCGGCGAATTCGCGGAATAATTTTGATTCGAGTCGAATATATTCGCTGCGAATTTAACTTATAAAAAGGGTGTTTCTAGGCTTCAGAGAGCCTTTATATTAGTGCAGAACACTGTACCTTTAATTTAAATGCCCTTGGAGTCTGCTGGGGAAGAGAAATAATACTGTCAGTCAGTATGACATGCAGATGAGTGCCGTCGATCTTAGAATCACCGCACACTTCACTCATTTGGGCAGTCACGGGGCCAAAACCAGAGTGTGGAGCCACAGTGTGGCGGTGGAGGCAGCAGCAATGGGAGGCCATACAGCACCCTATGAAAAAATGGAACCCACCAGCAGTGTGAGGAGACCTGAAAGTGGCACATGGCAGAGTGTGTGGCGATGGAGACAGCAGCAATGGGAGGCCGTACAGGGACCCATGACACACTCTGGACCTGGCAGCAGCATGAGGAGGCGGTACAGGGGCCCATGACAGATTACGGGCCTGGCAGCAGCATGAGGAGTCGGTACGGGGGCCCATGGCAGATTACAGGCCTGGCAGCAGCAATGGGAGGCCATACAGCACCCTATGACAAAATGGAACCCACCAGCAGTGTGAGGAGACCTGAAAGTGGCACATGGCAGAGTGTGGCGATGGAGACAGCAGCAATGGGAGGCCGTACAGGGACCCATGACACACTCTGGACCTGGCAGCAGCATGAGGAGGCGGTACAGGGGCCCATGACAGATTACGGGCCTGGCAGCAGCATGAGGAGTCGGTACGGGGGCCCATGGCAGATTAGGGGCCTGGCAACAGCAATGGGAGGCCCGTAATCTGCCAGCACCCTATGACAAAATGGAACCCACCAGCAGTGTGAGGAGACCTGAAAGTGGCACATGGCAGAGTGTGGCGATGGAGACAGCAGCAATGGGAGGCCGTACAGGGACCCATGACACACTCTGGACCTGGCAGCAGCATGAGGAGGCGGTACAGGGGCCCATGACAGATTACGGGCCTGGCAGCAGCATGAGGAGTCGGTACGGGGGCCCATGGCAGATTACGGGCCTGGCAGCAGCAATGGGAGGCCCGTAATCTGCCAGCACCCTATGACAAAATGGAACCCACCAGCAGTGTGAGGAGACCTGAAAGTGGCACATGGCAGAGTGTGGCGATGGAGACAGCAGCAATGGGAGGCCGTACAGGGACCCATGACACACTCTGGACCTGGCAGCAGCATGAGGGGGCGGTACAGGGGCCCATGACAGATTATGGCCTGGCAGCAGCATGACCGGGCCTGGCAGCAGCAATGAGGTGTCGGTACGGGGGCCCATGGCAGATTACGGGCCTGGCAGCAGCAATGGGAGGCCCGTAATCTGCCAGCACCCTATGACAAAATGGAACCCACCAGCAGTGTGAGGAGACCTGAAAGTGGCACATGGCAGAGTGTGGCGATGGAGACAGCAGCAATGGGAGGCCGTACAGGGACCCATGACACACTCTGGACCTGGCAGCAGCATGAGGAGGCGGTACAGGGGCCCTTGACAGATTACGGGCCTGGCAGCAGCATGAGGAGTCGGTACGGGGGCCCATGGCAGATTACGGGCCTGGCAGCAGCAATGGGAGGCCGTACAGGGACCCATGACACACTCTGGACCTGGCAGCAGCATGAGGAGGCGGTACAGGGGCCCATGACAGATTACGGGCCTGGCAGCAGCATGAGGAGTCGGTACGGGGGCCCATGGCAGATTACAGGTCTGGCAGCAGCAGCAATGGGAGGCCCGTAATCTGCCAGCACCCTATGACAAAATGGAACCCACCAGCAGTGTGAGGAGACCTGAAAGTGGCACATGGCAGAGTGTGGCGATGGAGACAGCAGCAATGGGAGGCCGTACAGGGACCCATGACACACTCTGGACCTGGCAGCAGCATGAGGAGGCGGTACAGGGGCCCATGACAGATTACGGGCCTGGCAGCAGCATGAGGAGTCAGTACGGGGGCCCATGGCAGATTACGGGCCTGGCAGCAGCAATGGGAGGCCGTACAGGGACCCATGACACACTCTGGACCTGGCAGCAGCATGAGGAGGCGGTACAGGGGCCCATGACAGATTACGGGCCTGGCAGCAACATGAGGAGTCGGTACGGGGGCCCATGGCAGATTACGGGCCTGGCAGCAGCAATGGGAGGCCCGTAATCTGCCAGCACCCTATGACAAAATGGAACCTACCAGCAGTGTGAGGAGACCTGAAAGTGGCACATGGCAGAGTGTGGTGATGGAGACAGCAGCAATGGGAGGCCGTACAGGGACCCATGACACACTCTGGACCTGGCAGCAGCATGAGGAGGCGGTACAGGGCCCATGACAGATTACCCAGGAGGCGGTAGAGGCAGACATCTTTGCTGTGGACCAAGGACGTGCAAACGTGGAGGCAAAAGCGGCGTGACCTGTCCAAGTTGCTGGTGCGGCTGTGCCGGCACCACGTTCACCCAGTGGGCCGTAAATGACATGTACTGTCCCTGACCGTAGTTACAGCTCCACACGTCGGCGCTGCCGTGCACTTTGGCAGAGACCGACATGCTCAAAGACTAGCCCACCATCTCTTCTACATGTGAATGCAGGGCTGGCACTGCCTTTTTGGCGAAGAAATGACGGCTTGGCACTCTCCACCGCGGCGCGGCACAAGCCATCATTTCTCGGAAAGGTGCTGAGTCCACCACTTGGAAAGGGAGGGACTGCAGCACCGGCAACTTGGACAGGAGGACGTTCAGCTTCTGCACCGTCGGGTGCGTGCTCGCAAACTGTTGTCTCTTGGAAAACGGATTCCAAGAAAGACTGCTGACGGAAACCGTGAAGAGGAGTAGCAGGAGAAGGAGCATCTGAACGAGCGGAAGATGCCAACGAGCGACAACTCCCCTCAGCAGAGGTGTTGGAGCCTTGACTGGCTAATAGAGGGCGATTGACGTCGGGTGACGGAGCAAGTAACGGAGCGGGTGATGGAGCGGGGGCTGGGGCAGGCAGAACCGCCGTATCTTTATCACGGTTTTTCCCAGGCCACCGAATGGCGACGCTGCATATGCTGACGCAACGCTGTAGTCCAACATGGGCCCTCTGGCCACGCTTGACTTTCTGGCCACATAGTCGACATACGGCTACGTTTACTTCCCGGGTCGGCTTGACGAAAAAAATTGCCCACACCGCCGAGTAGGAAACTTTGCCCCCGCTACTCCTCACTGGCTGACTGCTACTTCCTCCGTGCACACCGGCACCACTACTGGCCGTGGTGGTAGGCTGCAGTGGAGCTGGTGCTCTACTCCGTGGCCGTTTGCCTCCACTGACACTGCTGCGACCCTGCGCCTCCTGGGCAACCCTCCGACTGTTTTGCTCGCTGCCAAGCTGGCACCCTCTTCTCCTGATGATGCGGAAGCAATAGCCTGATGACGACGAGGCTGCCAAGTGCGATCAGCCTCATCATCATCAATTAGGGTCTCCGCCTCACTACTAGCCCCCTCGGCTGCGTGTGGGTCAGGAGACAAGACCTGTCTCTCTAGACCGGCTACCGAGCCACTCTCCCTCGCCAGTACTTCTTCGCCTGGCTGCTGAAAAGGCGGATTCCCCCCATTCCTGACCGCCCTCTGTTAGCTCTTCCTCACTGTACAGTGGGGCTGAGCCCACAGCATGCGATACTTCGCTTGGTGAGGAAACACCAAAGGACAGGGGCAGGTAGAGGACACGTGATTTCAGTGGGCTTGCTCCCCGGGCCATGCCAACTAATGGTTGTGTCTGACGTACCCACCGACCGTTGGCTGTAGGTGTCAGAGGTGACCTGGGAAGAGGAAGACGACCGAGCCAACCAATCGATGATGGAGGGTTGTCGGTGGAGACACGACCGCTGGATGACACCGGGAGCACTGGCCTCTGGCTGCGAACTAGTGCTGCCGGCGACCCCTTCCTCTGCTGCCACGTCTGCTCGCTCCTAAAACATTGCCTCCTCTGCCACTCCTCTGCGTGTTGTCTGACATACTCTTTAATTCAACGATTCTGTGTCCCTGAGTAACAATTCTGTGTCCCTGAGTAACAATTCTGTGTCCCTGAGTAACGATTTCTGGGTCCCTGAGTAACGATTCTGTGTCCCTGAGTAACAATTCTGTGTCCCTGAGTAACAATTCTGTGTCCCTGAGTAACGATTCTTTGTCCCTCAGTAACAATTCTGTGTCCCTGAGTAACAATTCTGTGTCCCTGATTAACAATTTCTGTGTCTGTCCCTGAGTAACAATTCTGTGTCCCTGAGTAACAATTCTGTGTCCCTGAGTAACGATTCTGTGTCCCTCAGTAACAATTCTGTGTCCCTGAGTAACAATTCTGTGTCCCTGAGTAACAATTCTGTGTCTGTCCCTGAGTAACAATTCTGTGTCCCTGAGTAACAATTCTGTGTCCCTGAGTAACGATTCTGTGTCCCCTCAGTAACAATTCTGTGTACCTGAGTAACAATTCTGTGTCTGTCCCTGAGTAACAATTCTGTGTCCCTGAGTAACGATTCTGTGTCCCTCAGTAACGATTCTGTGTCCCCGAGTAACAATTCTGTGTCCCTGAGTAACAATTCTGTGTCCCTGAGTAACGATTCTGTGTCCCTCAGTAACAATTCTGTGTCCCTGAGTAACAATTCTGTGTCCCTGAGTAACGATTCTGTGTCCCCTGAGTAACGATTCTGTGTCCCTGAGTAACAATTTCTGTGTCCCTGAGTAACGATTCTGTGTCCCTGAGTAACGATTCTGTGTCCCTGAGTAACGATTCTGTGTCCCTCAGTAACGATTCTGTGTCCCTGAGTAACGATTCTATGTCCCTGAGTAACAATTCTGTGTCCCTGAGTAACGATTCTGTGTCCCTCAGTAACGATTCTGTGTCCCTGAGTAGCAATTCTGTGTCCCTGAGTAACAATTCTGTGTCCCTGAGTAACAATTCTGTGTCCCTGAGTAACGATTCTGTGTCCCTCAGTAACAATTCTGTGTCCCTGAGTAACAATTCTGTGTCTGTCCCTGAGTAACAATTCTCTGTCCCTGAGTAACAATTCTTTGTCCCTGAGTAACGATTCTGTGTCCTTCAGTAACAATTCTGTGTCCCTGAGTAACAATTCTGTGTCCCTGAGTAACAATTCTGTGTCTGTCCCTGAGTAACAATTCTGTGTCCCTGAGTAACGATTCTGTGTCCCTGAGTAACAATTCTGTGTCCCTGAGTAACGATTCTGTGTCCCTGAGTAACAATTCTGTGTCCCTGAGTAACAATTCTGTGTCTGTCCCTGAGTAACGATTCTGTGTCCCTGAGTAACAATTCTGTGTCCCTGAGTAACAATTCTGTGTCCCTGAGTAACGATTCTGTGTCCCTAAGTAACAATTCTGTGGCCCTAAAGTCTCTGTGGCCCTAACTCTGTCCTAATACACAGAGGTCTGTCTCTCTTGAATGACGGAGGCTAATGGAGAATTGTAAGATGGCCGCAATTTATAGCTCCACCATTACACAGTGCTGGCTGGCTGGCTGCTGATTGGCTAATGCGATCACATGTCATGAATGAATGCATTATGGGTCAACGCGCCTTGTCTGCGCGCCTTCCCAGAGATCCCCGCTCCGTCGCCACACATGTCGCCGCCATTTTTGGGAAAATTCGATTCGTGCATCCGAAGTTTGCTAATTTTCGGATTCGGCGCGAATCGAATTTTTCCTGATCTTCGAAACGAATTCCACTTCGCCATGTTCGATTCGCTCATCTCTAGCATTGATGGTTATCAACTTAAAGTATTACTAGACCCATGACCTTCCATTCACTATATCTGGTCTCTCACAGTACACACAACATAGAAATGCAATCATTTTAGTAAATATAAACTGCTAAATACCTTTTCTCATTAGCAGTATATAGCAGTCTTGTGACTTCTATCAGTGTCCAGCTGAGCACTGGTTTAAGCTTGTAGGAGGAGTTTTTATTCTGCTCTGACTATCCTATGAAGCTGCATAACCCCTGACCCTCTGTATGGATAGTGCTGATTGGCTCTGTGCTGATCACATGCACCCTCCCAAGGAAAAAAAATCTCTAGACATACACATTAAACTAAGCATCAGCAGATGGATTTGGGGCAATAGAATAAGGGGAGGGTCAGAGAAGACAGGATCAAACACAATGCAGAGGATTAACCCCTTAGGTTCCACAGTGGGTATAACAAGCATGCTTTGCTGCATATACAGACTGATTTGACTGTTGTGGGATTAGTAACACTTTAAGTGCTCCCAGGTATATAGCATATACTATCTCTATCTCTTTATTTTAATTCATTTGTACGTAATATAATTGGGATTTGTTTTTAAACCTTGGCCAGGTTTTTCTGCTTTTTCACAATTTTGATTTATTTATAATGAAAAATAATATATAGTAGACTGTGTTGCCTTGAATATACAACCTCTAATGCATTTCACCCAAATCAGAGCTAACACTATGAGTAAGCTCTAATTTAAGTGTAGCGCATTGGAAGCTGTATATACCAGATGGTACAATCTTCACGATGAAGAGTTTATTAAACCAACATTAAGACTTTTAAATTGTGATCGGCTTCCCTTTCACTCTTAGAGTTCATGTGTGGATCATGTGGAGCAGACAGCAGTTAGCTCTGATGAAGAAGGGACCCCCTTCGAAACGCGTCAGAAGTACTCTGCGAATCTACCCCTATGATTGGACTCGCACAGGCTTCGCACTTCTGAGTGTTATTCTGAATTTAATAAAATTTTGGTTTGCTGAGGTAATGCACAAGGTTGGTGCGCTTTCTTTTTGTTTCACTTTGCAGCGACTGCCGGAAGCAAGACATCTGTGTCAAAGGATCAGCGAGGATCAGTGCCTGAAGCAGATGATTATTCCTTGTCTCTCAGTAATATATATATATCACATAAAAAAAATCTCAGAATTGTATATGCTATTGTAGTAAATCTGTTGTCACCAGGAGAGCAAATGCAGGAAAATCTGTGTAATAGAACCCTGGAAAGCAGTAACCCAAATCCAACAAAGTTCTGTCTCTTCACCACTCTATCCCAAACCAGAAAAACACAAAGAAATTACACTCTGGGGTGTATTTATTAATGTTGTGACCTAAAATCCACCAATTATCTACATAAGATTTAATTAAAAACATGGATAAATACTGGATCAAAGTTGTGTGAATCTTAGATGAATATACTGATAAACAGACCCATTTAAAGGGTAAGTGCACTTTATCCTGCTGCCCTATAGTGTTACCTAAGTGAACCACCCCCTTCCTTTCCAGAGATGCATACTTACCTCAATGCAACAGCTATGACTCCTG